TATTTTCCTCTTCTTGGAGCAGCAAGCTAACTTAGAGCAATGTAGCAGGTGCAGCCTTCCCTGGCACAGAAAAAAGAAATGATGGGAAAATGTCACCTTGCTAAAATCCTCTGTGTGAGGCAGCTGCCCTAGCCATAGGAGCAGAGCCAGGTAATGAAATGCCAGTCCTGCTGCGAAGACATTTTGGCCCCTGTAGTTCATTCAGATCCATCCTCCCTTTTGTGTGTGTATCTTTGGGCTCTCACTCCGTACAAAGGAAACTACTGTTACCACCAGGAGACTGCAAAATTGCCTTTGATGCAAAAAAAAAAAAAGATCACTTTGGCTAATTAGGAGTACCTAATTCAGGCCTTCCCTTTTCCTTTTGTTTGCAAGAAACCTGCAGGCAGTGCTAATTGAAGGTGATGTTCAGGTGCAGGGATAGACGCCAAGCACAACCTTCCATACAAGAACATGCAGACGCACTTCCATTAGACGATAACTCAAAGTAATTTGTCTTTTGTCAGCGTCTCCCAGTGCAATCCTAGACACATTTCCTCAAGCGTAAGTCCATCCAAGTTCAAAGGAGCTTACTCCCAGATAAGCGGTTATAGGATTACAGCCTTATATCTGTCATATTTGGGGAAGAGATTTCCCTGATGTCTCCCAGCAGTTTGGTTTCTGTCTACCGAGCACCGTTTATTGCTCTTCCACAGCCAGGTGCAAGGTAATCATTTTGCCCATGCTGTTTTGAGCAGAGATGTTTCATACAATGTCTCTGTGTTTGTGCTTTTGCCATTTCTAAATGTCCTTGTAAAATGAATCTTCATATCAGTGCAGGCTGTTATATAAAAACTAAAAAAAAAAATGTCCATAGCTGAATCTCACACAATAGGCAGATGAGGCTGCCAGCTTTTTCCTGATAGTGCTGCCTGGCATGCAGTAATTTAGAAAGTGAATCAATTCATCATTTCACCTATATTCGCAGGGGAAAACATTTCTGTTACCTATCATATATACTCATTTATCAGTCAATCTCATCCATAAGTGATGGTACTCACCTTTAAGGCCTTGCATGATCTGGGGCTGATGTACCTGAGGGACCGCCTCACCCCCTACCAACCCCAGAGATCCCTCCATTCTGAGGACCAAGAGCTATTGGAAGTCCCCAGTGTCAAGACCTTGCGTCTAACAGCAACCAGACAGAGCCTTCACGGCAGTGGCACCATCACTCTGGAATACTCTGCCACCTGAAGTCCGTGCCTTGCGGGACTTATCAGCTTTCTGCAGGGCATGTAAGACATACCTGTTTCGACAGGCTTTTAATATCTGATATTGCTGTTTTTAAATTGTTTTAAATTGTTTTTAAATTGTGTTCGATTTTAGCCATTCTTGTAAGCCGCTCCGAGCCCCAGGGGAGTGGCAGCATATAAGTTCGAATAATAAATAAATAAATAAATAAGTTGGGGGCAGGTTTGGGGGCCAAAATTATTATTTTGTTATGACCTGAGGATCTACAGAGACACTCACTGGAACACCTCAGCAAGCAAGAGTCCAAAAGTGGCAGGCTAAAACCCAGAACCTCAATCAGTGGTTAATACCAAATGAGGGACTCCCTCCTGGGCACACAGAAGACTCGGTGACTTGGAAGGTGCTGAACAAGCTGTGCTCTGGCACTACGAGATGTAGAGACAACCTTAAGAGATTGGGCCACAAAGTGGAGTCCATGACATGCAAGTGTGGAGAAGAGCAAACTACAGACCACCTATTACAATGCAACCTGAGCCCTGCCATGTGCACAATGGAGGACCTTCTTATAGGAACATCAGAGGCACTCCAATTGGGCAGGTACTGGTCAAAGAACATTTAATATAATACCAAAATTTCACACTTGGTGGGTTTTTTAAAATACAGTATAACTGTTTGGTTCGCTCCTGATGCGATAAATAAATAAATAAATAAATAAATAACCTGCGGATTAATTGAGGGTTTTTGTGTGTGTGTCAGGAATGACTTGAGAAACTGCAAGTCACTTCTGGTGTGAGAGAATTGGCCATCTGGAAGGACATTGCTCAGGGAACACCCAGATGTTTGATGTTTTACCATGCTTGTGGGAGGCTTCTCTCATGTCCCCACATGGAGAGCTGGAGATGACAGAGGGAGCTCAACCCACTCTCCCAAGATTTGAACCACTGACCTATTGGTCAGCAGTCCTGCTGGCACCAGGGTTTAACCCATTGCACCACTGGGGGCTCCATGGTAATTCTCCATGGTAATTCTATGGATGTGGTGAATAGCTGCTAGTACTGCCTTCCCCCTCCCCCCTCCCAGGTATTCAACAAAGCCTTTCACCACCTGACTCAAAGAGGGGAATGGTTCCTTTTTTGAGAAAAGTTAAGCTAAAATATTAACTTTTACTAAAAAAAAAAAGAATTCCCTTTTCTGAGTACATTCCTTCTGAAGGGCTTGAGCCAAATCACAGTAGGTCAATTAGTGGTCTCTGAACCATGCTTGTCCTTGAGCCATTGGCTACTGCTCTTTGGAAAGTTTCTAAGATCTACACTTCTTACAGAAAAGTCTAGATATAATGGCTGAATTGGAATCTTACAAAACTGTGCAAATTTTGGATTATACAGGTGTATTACATCACTGCAGTATTTTTTTTTTAAAAAAAACTATGAATTCTAGGAAGAAGGTGGGGGAAAGTGAACCAGGGCTGGTTTTCAGCAGTAGTTATCATACATTTCCCATAATGTTTAATTCTGACCAGAAGTTGAAAAGAAATCACTCTGCTGGGCAGTAACCTATTGCTCATCTCCTCTCATTAAAATTTCCTTTGGGAGAGGGACTCTTCAAGTGCCTAACCACCACCACTCCACCACCAATTCCCTGAGGAAATAAATGCTTTTCAGGGTGAGAGGCTTGCCTTTGTGGAGTTCGTTTCTCAACTGCCTTTGGAGTTAATTTCCAGTTCACCTGATGTGAATTCCGCAGCGCTGCCTCCTTTCCCAAGAGAGCAGAACATGCAACCTCCCGCTCCTTCTCTCCGCTACAAGGGCTTTTGGGAGATAGACACAGGATAAATTAGGCAAGATGGGAGCTACCTCATGCTAATACATTCACAGCTGCTGTATTATCGCTCTGCATTGCCTTATTTAAAGAACCAGTGCAAGCCATGGTGCAAAGGTTTCCTCCAGCTTCTCTTTTCCCCCTTCAAGGGCATGCTAGGCCTTGTGATAGGACGGGGTTTTTTTCCATGTCAGGAGCGGCTTGAGAAACTGCAAGTCGCTTCTGTTCTGAGAGAATTGGCTGTCTGCAAGGACGTTGCCCAGGTGACGCCCAGATGTTTTGATGTTTTATCATCTTTGTGGGAGGCTTCTCTCATGTCCCCGCAATTGGGAGCTGGAGCTGACAGAGGGAGCTCATCCGCGCTCTCCCAGGATTCAAACCTCCGACATGTCGGTCTTCAGTCCTGCTGGTGAAAGCGTTTAATCCATAGGGTGGTGGTTGCATTTCTTAAAGAAACAGATATGAGCTGCTGCAAATGTTTTGCCATTTTACTACCACCACCTGTTGTTGTTGTTGTTGTTGTTGTTGTGTGCCTTGACTCTGACTTTTGGTGAATTTCATGGTCACTTTTTGTTGTGTTGTTTTAAGTCATTTCCAACTTATGGTGATACTAAAGTGAATCTACCACTGAGTTTTCTTGGCAGGATATATTCAGAGGAGCTTCGCTCTTGCCTTCCTCTGAGGCTGACTCAGTATTCTGATTCAATAACTGGGCTGCAAATGTGAGGTTATGGAAGTGTCCTGTAGCTATCTCTGTTTAACCAGTACTTACACCAGATATATGTTGTCAGACAGTGCTAAACTCAACTGAGGAGACATAGATAAGTTTCGAGATGCTTTAATCCAGCTAAATCTTGTAAAATGTCATACAACAGTAGTGCCTTGCCCAAGGTCGCCTGGTGGATTTCTGTGGCTGAGAAGGGATCCAGATCCTGGTCTCAGAGTGTTCTGGTCCAATGTTCTTGGTCCATATTTCTGTTGGTAGCTATATGATAACAAATAATTCAAGTTTGTTGTCAAGAGAAATGATTTCTGGTTTCCAGAGCATAGCCCCATATTTTCTCTTTTCTCTTGAAAAGAGAAAAAAACTTTTAAGAATTAAAAGATTGAATACCATTTTGGAAGAAAAGGGGGGGAAACATAATAATAAAACCCAAAATAAATGTAGCATTAAAATTCAACTCAATAGCAGAATCTATGGGTATATGTCAGTCCTACCCTAAAATGGTAAACATGGGAGTTGTAGTTTTACAAGGTCTTTTGCCTTCTCTGACAGAGAATGCTGGTGCTTCACCAAACTCCAGGATTCCATAACATTGAGCTATGGCTGTTAAAGAGATGTCAAATTGCATTAATTCTACAGTGTAGATATACCTGCAGAGAAATGGTTGCCCAGCCGAAAAGGACAGCTCTGGTTAGATGAGCTACCACTCCCTCTCAGTATAGCAAGGATGTAGCTATGGGGGAGACAAAATCCCTCAGAAAGAATTCTGCTTCCTCCATGAAATTTTCTTTCATGCTCCAAATTTCTAACAAAAACTTCAGTGCAGTATTTTAAAATACTCTTTAGGCATGCAGAGAAAAGGAGAAGACAAGTTACCAAGAGAATCTGAACAGAGCAAATACACAAGTTGTAAGTGTGAACATTTTTATTGTCCCACTCTCTGCAATGCTAGATATTTGGAAAACTTCATTTGAAAGAGCAGAATTCTTACTGGAGCAGAAGTGCCCTCATTTTACCACCCGTGGTTTGAAAACTACACTCCATAGTATGAGACATTTTTCTGTATTAATCTTTAAATAAAGCTTGACACTCTTTCATCTTCATATTTGTTCTCCAATGTGTCGCGATACTATGCCTTAATGTATGTACAAATTTCATGGAACAATAAATGATCTGTTCTCGACCACTTGTCACTTAAATGCTTCTGGTTTTCCTTCTTAATAGCCTTGAACAGCGTTGGAAACACCTAACCTCAAGAGGTGTGATGAGAAATGGCTTTGGGGAACAACACACAGCGAAGTTACTCCATCATCCCATGTTTCATCTTTGTCGAGGTGAGTGCAACTTTTGGATATTTTGGGTGTTTACTTTCAGCTTGGAAAGCAGTTTGGAAAGTTGCTTTAAAAAGGAATTCATTGAATATTTTGTTGTAGAATTAGTGCAGTCAACAATTTTGATCTTCAATCTATGCTTTGCACAGCTACATGTTAAAAGAAAAAAATAATAAAAGCATATGTTTGTGCTTGTATGTTTTGCCATTCATTTGTCACTCTGTCATTATCTGATTGTGTTTTTAAACTTAACATACTTTTAATATATTTCAAATCTGCTGTGATGATTAAAAGTATGTGGCAGCATATAACTCATGGCTTTGGTGAGGAAAAGGCTTGCTGTGGAGTAGGGCATGGCATGTTTGAAATGAAGATGGTGAGGCCACTGAGGAAGATTACCTTTGCCATTCTTGCTGTAAGCAAGCATGTGATGAGGATGTCAAGGTCTTCTTTCGGGGCCAAAGATACTCCCACTGATCTTATTTTTATTGTCACTAGAGTTTTCAATAATGCTCCGAGCGAAGAGCAGAGCCCTTTGGGGGTTCAATGAAATGAACATGTCTTTCACTTCTCTGGTAACATCAATTCATTAGTTCTCTTCTAGAAGGAAAAGACAGCTCCAGCTTTTCTTGCATGCCTGGGTTTTTCCAGCTTGCCGCTTGGAATGGGATAACCTCTTTTAAAACTGTGTTGTGTGGCAGCTGTGATTGTTTAAGTCTGTCTCAAATGGCAGTGTGGGTAGGCCTGTCTGCTGTCTTACTCTCACATTCTTATTTTCAAGGGTTGCCAATGACAACCTGTTGTTCTCATAGCCAACGTTTAAGGGTTGCACTTGTCAGGCACATGCCAAGAATCCCACCTCAGTGACTGATCCCTAAAACCTGTTCTTCTTCCCTACTGTTAATGCCATATCTGAGTGAAAAAACAGAGAAACAAGGACAGTAACCACTGCATAGTTTTGAATGCTTGAAATGCAACAATGTGTTTAAAGAAGGAAATGTGTCTTATCAGAGCAGCACTGATGGGGTTAATGACATAAAATCTCCTCCTCCCTTACCCACCTATCCTAGTATGTGGATAAAATAAACCATATGTAGTTCATGTTTGATCAGCCCATACACTGCCTTGCCAGAGAAAGAAAATATGCAACACAGGTGAACAATAAAGAACAAGTAGTTCACTCTTCTTGGTTCAAAACAACATATGCACAATGTAATCAGTTGCATTAACTCACATGTCCTTCTATGAGAGGTTTTAAATGGTCTTTCTTTGTCCATGTGGATAAACTCCTTCAGCAGCTCATGAAGCAAGAGCACACTCCAAACTCTCTATCTCTCTTTCTCCCTGTGCTTCTCTCCAAGCACGTGCATAGCTCAAACCTGAACAAAAATTGGGAACCACTAGTATAGATTATCACTTCTGAAGAGTCTTGTACAGGTAATTCTTCAACAGTGAGTGGAAAAGTTTTCTCTACATGGTTTGATTAGGAAGGCAGCCTTAAGTCTCTCATCCCCATTAATTTCTTCCAGCAGAAAACTTTGGAAAAGTTACTGTCCCTTTCAAAGATAGCATTTTAATTTTAGCAGGAAAGGGACCCGTAAGTAATGAGCAATGAGAAAGAACACTAGCTTATTCCCAGACTTTCAAATATGCACATTCAGGACTAAGTATTTTCAAGACCGTATTTGTCAAGCCCAATTCATACATGCATCAAACAAGATAGTCCTGGGTTTTGTCTCTGCAAACGGTAATGTGGTCAGTTTCATATAAGTACCATAAATGTCCTTTCATGTGAAGAAAAGATAACTCCTTTGGACAGAAAATTAGCATGAACAAAGAACACAATTATTAAATACAATACACACATAAATTTTCACCAGACCACACTCAGTTTGGAATCTGGACAGCCTACATTACTTTATTTCTTTATCTGCAATTTTTGTGAGCTCTCCCTCCATCTCTAAGAAAAACCTGAAATTTCCCCCCTTTCTTTTTCAAAGATAGGGAATAGACAAAGGTGATAATCAATCTCTCACCTACCCAATCAATATTTTTTTAAGGAATAGAAAAAAGAAACTATGTCACAGATCTTTCCATTTACAGCCAGACCCGGTCATCCTCGAAGCCTTTTTTTTTACCCTCCTAATATGTGAATGATGAGTCCATCTGGAAGCACAGGTGAGAGAGATATAAATTGTCCTTACTGTAGTCAAGGCTGATGTGGACATAAAAATAAATCAAGCTACAGCCCTGGGGAAAAATGTTGGCATCTCTGTATGTCCCAAATATAATCAGGGTTGATTTAGGAAACAGATAGAAAGCATGTAGTTTCTTTTTTTTTAAAAAAAACCTAATCTCTAATAGTGTTTATTTTCTTTCTTAAAAGATGCACAGGCATTTTGATTATCATTATTTATAATTTTGTGATCTTTCTGTTTGTAAAGCTTGTGATACTCAGTGCTACAAACACAATGTTCATCAGTTTGGTTTTGGATTTTACATCACATCACAGTAATTTCTGCCTAATTATGCCTTCCCTTTTGTGGTCAGAAAAAGCCTCCGGTCTCTCTGTGCTACTCCCACAACCGTTTCAAGATAGCATTCAAAGCTTTGACCTTTGCTGACCATATTGCTCTTGATTTCTGTCTTTGGAGACTGTGATAAGCCAGAATTCTGAACAGTTCTGACAGTGAATGAGCAGCATCCTCATGCATGGGGGCTCATATTTTATTACTTATCAGTACTATGACCATGGAACAATGTGTTGTGCCGTCCAGTCTGGAGAAGTTGGTATATTGCTCCCAAATTAGCCAAGAATGATAGATCTTAGATTTCTGGTGATCTTCTCTTACCTCCTTGTAAAGGATAAACAAGCCCTGATTTCAAGGTCAGATGACACACTAAACTGGAATTCTGACTGAATTGTTCTGTCTGAATGTCACTATTGACTTATTTGCAGAGATGCCTCAGCATTTTACAGAGATGTCTTGGGGGACAAATAACCCAAATTTTGTACGCCTCCAGATGCAGAGAAAACATACCCTTGTTTTCTGTAGCTCTATACTTCTGGGGTACATTTGATTTGGTCTTTCTGCCATTAGCATTTGTCACACCGGGGAATCCTAGGTTCAGATTTGAGGGATCTCTCTGTTCTTCCAAGACATAAAAATCACCATTTGACAAAAGACAGATTTTGGTTGCATTCCAAACTCTCATTTTGGCTCATGCATAACAGAGTCTAGGGAAATGAAAACTGAGTTCAGGATCTCACAATTTAGGTGTCCTTTTATTATTTATTTATTTATTTATTTATTTATTGTATTTGTATACTGCCTTTCTCAGCCAATCGGCGACTCAAGGCGGTTTCCAACAAAACAGTATACATAGTATCTGAGTGTCTTTTGAATGGATTTGTGCTTTTCCAATGTTCCTTGTCAACAGTGCAGGTCTTGGAGTTTAATGGAGTCTTAAAACCCATTTATGGCATTCCACAAATGATACATTCGTGATTGAAATGCATTTTAACTTTGTTTGTGACAACACTCCAATTTAAAAGAAATTTCCTCCTAATAGTGATATGTCTTAGCATAGTAATGTTAACCTTTTCCTTTCTGTTTCCTAAGTTTTTATAACTTTAAGAAGAGGCATTCACATGAGACCTTTTCTGTGACTGAACTGAAGTACTGAGGAGGTTTGGAAGACTTGCTTTCTTGGACCAGAAGTCCCACTATTTCCCAGCCAGCATAGCCAGTAGCCATGCTTAGTAGGGGATGCTGGGAGTTGAAAAGTTCTGGCTGTTTGTTGTGGGTATTAACTGCGTCATTAAACTATTTGTTTCACAGCTGCAAATAGAGTTGTTGTTTTGATGCTTCATGAGTTTCTTGATCAGGCATCCTCAAGCTGCGGCCTTCCAGCTGTTTGGACCTCAACTTCCAGAATTCCTGATCATTGAACAAGCTGGCTAGGGCTTCTGGGAGTTGTTGATAATTTAAGAGAGATATCCAAACCAGTAGAGAATTTGAGTAAGGAAAGCACACAATGCTAAGAAATGGTCTACAAAAATGAGCTGTCAGTGCATGCTAGCCCTAACTTCCCTTCTCCAACTTGCAAGTGTGCCGCGATGATTGTAGTTTGCACAGAGAAGGGAGCAGAATTTTGCTCTTCCCAGTAGGCTTGGGCTAAAACAAATTGCTGCGGCCTCTCTTATCTTGTGTACTGTGTCTCCCACATTAATACTGTTCGTCGGTTTGGCCTTATTCTGATGTTGTCACACATGTCCCCATTTTCATCTGTGAAATGTCAGAAGACAATCTAAATTCATGACCTGAATGCCCTAAAGGCATCAGATCCCATCTGATCTTAAAAGTTAAGTAGGATCAGCTCAGTTTGATGTTTGGATGGGCAATTGTCAATGAATGCTGTCGACTTTAATTCAGAGGAGAAAATGGCAAAGCTTCTGAGTATTCTTTGCCTAAGAAAACCCTATGAAATTCCTGGAGTCACCCTAAAATTGACAAGTTACTTGAAGTATTAACCACCCACTGTGCTAGGTAGATTGGATGTGGCCATCTCTCTTTACAGCACCTCTTCTGGTACTCTTGAGAAGTAGTTCAGAAGATGGACATGCATAGAAGAGCTCTCAAACATGTACAACATGATTAGATATGATTCATTTTGACAATGAAGATAGCCTTCCTTAAATAGCTAACACATCCTCCCTATTCTGTGCCTTGACTGAAATATGTCAGCATGGTTAAGAGTCAAGAAAAGAATGTCATCTTGAGTCAGTTTGCACTTAACCTTACCAATGTAATGTACTTGAGCATTCACATTTCCGTTTCAGCCCTCGCTTACATGTTACTACACAGTCTGACCCAGAGATTAGTTGTGTGCTGTAAAAAAGTGCACCCTACCAGTAGCTTTTAACAACTTCCTTTGTACATCTGAAACTTGAGCTTTTCTGTGGTAGAGAGGAAGCGAGCGACATCTAATCTATAACAGCA